CTCCCGCGGTTCTCCCCCCTCACCCCTGGAAAGTACAAACTGCCCCCCGCCGACACCTGAGACCCCCTCCACCGGGGCCCGCGAACCCGAAGACACGAACGCAAGGGGCCCGGAACAAGGGCCCGTTTTCCAATGACGTCTGGGAAGGGCCAGCCCGTAGGGACGTTTTTGTCACATTTTGACGCACCAGGCCCCCCACACGACAATTTCAACGTGCAGCCACCGTTCGATGCGCGGATCGAACAGCCGCGAGTCGGCGCGCGGACCCTGCACGGAAATTCGAAACGGAAGGCCCGAGGGGGCCTCGTGTCCCGCGCGCCCACAAACACGAGCGGCGCCCTGGGCACCGACGATGCGTTTTGCGTTTTTTGTTGGGGAGATGCTGCCCGACGGAAGCCACGCTCCGCCACTATCGTCAACAGTTGGCGCGCCATAGCTGGCACAACCATTCTTCATCGCGCACGTTTCGTGGCACCGACGCACCCCACATGCCCTCGCATGTCCCTCCGCCTACCAAGGTGTTGTCCACGTCATATTCAACGTCGCTTCCGATCTCCTTTCTCGGAAGGCACGACAACCACCCCACGCAGCACCCCAACAAACACGAAATGCACGGCCAAAGAAGTACAGAGTGCCGTCACGACAAACGTCGAGGTTCGCGCTCATCTTCACTCGGCAGTTCCACACGGTGAGTGCGCACACAGTCAGGATGTACGTTTGCATGTGCGTGCGTGCGGGGGAGGTTTTTTGTGACGATATGCTCGCGCAGATCGAAAGATTCCGTGGCTGCATGTGTGCAGGTGGGCGTGTGTGTGTGTGTGTATTTGTGTGCGATTGTGTGTTTGTCAATGCTTCATTGTGTGTGTGTGTGTGTGTTCGAGTGCATGTTCCTTTGTGTTTGTGTTTGTATTGAAGTGTGTGCCACACGCGCGAGGCAGGATTGTCCGCGCGTCTGTACCTGAGGGGCGTGTGTGTGCGGGCGCCGTGTGTCGGCGCGTGTGTGTGTGTGTGTGTGTGCGTGTGTGTGCCTGTCTGTGCATATGTGTTCGCGTGCGTGTGTGTTCGCGCACGTTTTCCACGGGGAGATGCGCGCGAACGTGCGCGGTCAGGGATGAACGTCATGGTTCGCCCTTCGATTCCGCTTGTGTGTGGATGTGTGAGGATGTGTGAGGAGAGTATCAACAAACGATTGCGCTCGTGCTGTACTCAAGTGGCGAAGCACGGAAGCTCGGATCGAACACGCGGCGGCCAATAACGAAACACAACGTCATCGTGAGCACCTGCCATACCCGATTGGTTTTGTGTGCTGTCCCAATGTCATGTCCGCCGATCTGCCCAATGGATGATCAATCGAAACACGTGGTGGCAATGTCGACACAGCGAACGCATCCATCGACCAATCGCGAAACACGATGAGATCACTCGCGATCAGATGATTAGTCGTGTCTGCCGTGTCGACGTTACCACCGCGTGTGTGTTGTTCTTTCTGTCGTGTGTGTTCAGATCACTCGTGATCTGATGGTCGATCAGATCCATGACAATATGTATACCACACACGTGATGAACCGACCTATCACGAAATGCAAGCCGACCACTCGCGATCGGGTGATAGATGCTGTTTGCTTCCCCAACCACAGCGCTGCTGATCTGCCCGACGGATGATTAACCAATGCACGAGGCGACAACGCATCCAACCGACCAATCGCGAAAGGACAGAAGATTACTTGCGATCGGATGATTGATCGTGTGTGCTGCACCGAAGATCAACCCGCCGGCGAGCGACCTGTTTATTTACCCGCCTGACAGTCCTCGACCGAACCGTCGATCGGCCAGGAAATCTGCCAGGATCAACTGATTGGTCGACAGCTCGGTTGGCGATTGCTCTGCTGGTTGATCAACCACCACACCAACCGCCAAGCGAGCAGCCGATCAACCAATCGACTGTTCTGCGCTAATTGATCATGGAGAACGATCGTGGAGAATCCTCAAGGCAAATGATCATGTGCACGATCGAAACCGACGAACGAAACGCACAACCGATCGAAAAAACGTAGATCCCGATCTTCGAACGAATAAAAAGCACTTCGTCACAATCTTGTTGCACATCGAACCTCGTATAACATCGAACCATGCTGCCCATGGAACCTGGCTCCACATCAAACCTCGGCGGGCGTCGAACCTCGTCGGACGTCGAACTTTGGAGGAAGTAGGGTCGTCGACACTTGACGGCCACTGAACAGCGAACGTTGAGCACCCACCACCCCACGCGTCGCCGGCACTGTTCTCGTGATCGGAACGTGGCCGTTCCAACCGAATTGATCGCGCAATCAAACACCGGAAGAAGTTGGGATCCCGGCGAGCTTGTGCAGCTGTTCGAACACGCTTCTCAACCCCGGTGCGCAACCACAGCGAGGGACGTGGAAAATTAGAAGTCCGCCGGGATCCGAACTTCAAGAAATTGCTGGACGGCGAGTTTGGCAAACACGTGTGCATCTCCCACACAATTTCGCCAAGTTCGGATCCCGGCGAACTTCATGCAGCTGTTCGAACACGCTTCGCAACCCCGGTCCCCAACCACACCCTGGGACGTGTAAAAATTGGAAGTCCGTCGGGATCCGAACTTGAAGAAATTGTTGGACGGCGAGTTCGGCAGACAGGTGTATGTCTCCTACGCAATTTCACCAAGTCCGGATCCCGACGAACTTCATGCAGCTGCTTGAACACGCTTCGCAACCCCGGTCCGCAACCACAGCCTGGGACGTGGAAAAATATGAAGTCCGCCGGGATCCGGACTTCAAGAAATTGCAGGACGGCGAGTTTGGCAGACAGGTGTGTATCTCCCACGTAATTTCACCAAGTTCGGATCCCGGCCAACTACAAGTTCCTGCTGGCCTGCGGATCCAAACCTCGCTCGCACTATTCCTTGTACACTCGTCGAGTCCGGACCTCGGCGAACCTCGGATCCGTGATAATGCGATGTCCGTCGGGATCCGGACTTCTACTGCACGGTTCATCGCACAGACGTCAAGTTCGCACCCCGACGACTTCGCTTGTCTCAATGTGTGGGTTCAGAACGCGGGTTTCTAGCTCCCGGGGTTTGGCACAGCTTTGTATTTGAAAAAATGTGTAGCTCGCCGGTTGATTCTCTCCCACGCGGTCTCGAGAAGTTCGGATCCTGGCGAACACCCTCCCATGGATCCGGACCTCGTGTGGCAAGTTCGGACCCCGACGAACTTCGCGTCGCGCATGGTGTGGGCACTGACTGTGTCCTTTCTCGCGAACGGGTGTTTGCCACAACTTTTGTTTCGCAAAAATGCGAAGTCCGCCGGGATCCGTACTTCTCGTGCAAAGGTTCCTCGTCCCATCGTCGGGTTCGCCTGCTGGGCCGTGGACTTGAACCTGTTGTCTTCCTTTCGCAATGCATGTGGCAGGAGATGTTCCTTTCGCAAGTTCGGATCCCGGTGAATTTGCCAAGTTCGGATCCCGACGAATTTGAGTTGTCTTCTTTTCGCAATGCATGTGGCAGGAGATGTTCCTGCTGGGCCGTGGATCAGAACCTGCCGTGCACGGTTCCTCAGACAATCGTAAATTTCGGATCACGGCGGACTACGGATTTTATAAAATGCAAAGTCCACTGAGATCCAAACTTCATGTGCACGGTTCGTCGGAAGACCGTCGACTTCGGACCCCAGCGTGCTTCACCTTTCGGGTGGTGCGGGTTCTTACTGTGGACTTCCTGGCGACCGGTGGATTGCCACAACTTTTTATTCGTACGAAATTGAAGTCCGCCTGGATCCGAACTTCTTGGCAGTTTTGGACGTCGGGTTTGGGAGATAGCTTCGTCTTTCCCGCGCAGTCTCGCCACGTTCGGATCCAGGCGGACATGTCGCAGGGCGTGTTTGCGGCTGGCCCGCGGGCCGGTAGATGTGAACACCGACGAAGCCGGCCACCCGAAATCGGATCTTCGGGCATACACTGCGTCTAATGTCATGGGTCAAACATCGTGAGACATGACGCGTTTACGAGTGTCTCCGTGCCCGTGTGTGTCGTCGGGCATGTGCGCGTGGTGTGCGGGTTGCGTGATGGAGGGGACCTTCTCGACACCATGCATCTTCGAGTCGATCTTCTCGAGACCACAGGCCATGAGTGTCGAGACGCACATTCGCTCAGCAGAACCTTTTCGTTCTTATGCGAAATCCGTGCGGCATTTCAACGGTGTAACAACGATCCACGGAGTGACCGCAGAGGACTTCGACGAGGACCCATGGATGACCGTCGTCCCGTGCATGGACGCACATCTTGACGATTGGGGCGAAGGCAATTGGGACAATATGGAGACTCACTGCCCTTGGGCAAGCGAGTACAAGTTCGCGAATATGTTGGAGTTCGGGGACCTCATCCCACTGCCTGACGCCGTCCTCGGACATAAGTTCTTGAACCATATGCGGAAAGCACTAAGCTACATTAGCCGCTATTTCAGTCGCCTGGAGTGCCACAACGGCAGGTCGTCGCCACGAACTTGGGGTGGCTCGCGGAAACAAGAGTTGGTCGCTGCTCTTTCCTGGACCAGTACCCGCTCCGTGGCCCCGGGATTTCTCCACAAGCTGTGTCGTACTGCTGTGTATGGTTGACTGTGTCCGGATCTGATTTCGCCACAGTTCTGTGTGTCGCTGCTTCGAACAAGAGCAGGAAACTCGTCGACGCAGTTGTGCTCGTGTCGCGCAACGAGGTTGTGATTGAAGGGTCCAAATTCGTGCCGATGCGTGGGTCTGAACGTATGGATGGGTGGCCAGATTTTGTGATAGCAGGTTAGGTTCGAAACTATTCGTTGTTTCGTGAGGTTAGGAGAAAGCGGCTGACATACGGGACTGCATAGGAAACTCCTTGGCACGACCGGGGGTGTTTGTTAGGATGAAATACATGTCCGTTTTTTCGGAGAGTGCATCGGTCGACGAACCGCAGACCCGCGTATACGGATCGTCACTGAATGCTTTGTTTGGCTTCGGTTCACGACGTCGTCCCGGGGGATCCCCAAATGTCGCTGCATTCGAACCAGTCTTTAGTCCTTCTGTTTGAGGGAAAAGAACGGCGAGGGACGAGACGCGGTTGTGCTGCCTAACATGTCAGATTTGTAGGACTGCAGAGAAGTGTGAGACTCCGCGGTTGCTGATACACGCTGCACCGCGCGCTTGTCGTGCAAATCCCTGGTCGTCGTTCGGTTCAGTGACATGACGAAAGTCATGTTGGACGTGCGTCTCTGACGCCGTCTCCTGCCATGTCGTGCCCCGGTGAAGTTCGGATCTCGACGAACTTCGCGTTCTGGCCTCTCCGTTAATTTGTCTATGATGTCAACATGTGACCGTAACCGGTTTTCGTCCGTCCACCATCAACATGTGCCAAACAGTCGGTCACTGTCGTAGCGAGATGCCAAAAGCACTCTTAGAGATCCCCGTCGCAAGGTCGAGCGAGCTTCGCGTTTCCTGAAACCTGTTGGGGATCCCGGTTGGCGGGCCCTCTTGTTGGAAATCCCGTTGGCACCGTCCTAGGACAGCTTGCTAGGACCCCAACTTTCTGTCTATCTCTCTCGCAGCCTCTTGAAGTTCGGATCCCAGCGAACTTGCTGTGACGCCTGTGTGTTGAACGGGCGCTGGGCTTCATGATCCCCCGTGGATTGCGACACGAGTCAAACCCTGATCCACAACTGCTCCTCCAGGGACTCATACAATGTTGTCGCGGCTGCTCGTTCGAACTTGGCTTCATCCAATGCCAAGTTGCGCATATCAGAAGAAGTTCGGATTTCGGCGAACTTGTCTTTCTCAAGCGGCCTTTTGTGTTAGTGCGGCCTTTCCGGGTCGTGGTTCAGTCCAATCTGTGTTTGCCTGACGCCTTCTCTGCCTGTCGCATTTTTCTGAAGTTCGGATCTCGACGAACTTCACGATTCGGTGGGTGCGTTGGTTTGGCTTCGAATAGGCACTTTTAGTACGGATCTCAGCGAACTTCGCGTCCGGAACTGTCCGGGTTCCTATTGCTAAACGGAGTACACTGCCCCGTCCAACGCGGGCTTTGTGCGTCACCACCCGTCCATTCCCGATCCGGTGGACATCCGTGTTCCGAAAAAAACCTACGTGGTTGTCGCCCGGCTGCATGAAGCGTGTGCCCTTGTAAAGAATGATCTCGTTGCAGGTAAGAGGTCATTGCTGGTCTTCGCGTTAGAAGTTCGCCAGGATCCGAACTTCGAGGTCCTCGGATAGCGTCATGTGACCGACGTGTTGAGGGCAAGGTGTGCCTCCTCTGTTTTTCGCCTGCGTTGTGCTTTGACTGCGATTTGACACTTGCTGGTGTTTTATTTGTTTTCCGTTGTCGTCCGCAGACAATATGTCTTCGTCCAGGGGCGAAGGGGAGCCTGCAGCGACCTCCGGGATGGGATCTGGGAAAGATTCTACAAAACAGTCGTTTACGACCTCGAGGACGTGGTCCGACCACGCTAGGTCGAAATGGTTCGTCGGCTGGTGCTGTGCTGATGCTACGAACCCAGTCCAACAACCGTGTGGTCATGTGATCTTCGTCGAAGCCAACAAGCGCCGCAAGGTTCTGGGGGTTGTCTTGCGGTCGGAGAATGCGAAAGGCAGTTATCGACGGTTTTACATGAAAAATGTGTACGGTTCGAAGGGGAACGTCGTCGCCGGTGCCAAGGGGGCAGTTCTCGACATGTGTCTGTTCGAGGGGTTCGGAGCGGGTGCTGCGAACACCCCGTTCTACAACRACCTCYGGCRGYWRGGCGGGTTTGTTTTGGGTCGAGAGTTCTTCGACCTGTTGGAGGACAAGGGCATCGCCCTCGACGTCCCTTGCGAAGTCGGTCCCGACCTGGAACTGTCAATGCCTTTGCAGTCGTGCACACATGTGCAGCGGGAGGATGCCAGAGGTCAGTTTGACGACAGTGAAGATGAGGCGACACCATGTCTGCCGTTTTCGCCGTCGAGGGAAAGAGACAGGTCCGTGATGTCCATACCTGGGGTCCGGCAACAGACCGCAGCGGATCCCGGAGAAGAGGGAGTCCTGTGTGGGTCTGACTTGGAGCCAGCACAGGGCCATGGCGCAAAAGGCGAGGCCGTGGGCGGGGAGGAAGCGCAGGGCACTCCCCAAAAAAGGAGGGGAAAATGTCAAGAAGAGTTGGTGGGCTCTTCGAAGAAACAGAAGACCAAGACCCCGAGGACTACGGGAGAGAAACGGAAGGGGAGGGGGATGGAAGAGGGTCACCCGGGTATCAAACGTCCAGCTTCGAAACATAAACAACCTGAGTCAGGACCTTCTTCACCACGGTCTGCCATCGACGTGGACGCCAGGTACTTCCTGGAGTACAAAGACGGCGTCAGGACAAGGCGAGAGTTTGAGATCAGCCCGGCTCAGATCGTTGACATAAGGGAGTGGGAGGATCTTTACAACCAGCGGTCGCTAGATCCCGTCCTCGTGGAAACGATAAGGGAAGCAATACGGTCTGCGTTCGAAAATAAAGAACAGACGTACGAGTTGCCGGTCTTCAAGCTCGAACCACTGGGACTTCAAAAACCAACTCCTGGGACCAAGGCATAACGTCTGAAGCCGGAGGAGTGGAAGGATGAGCTGGCGGGAGAATACTACTACTACGCGGTGTGCGGGCAGCACAACGCGGCTGCAGCCAGGTCGCTGCTCGGCAGCGAGGTGGCCAAGAAGTACAATTTCGAGCGGTGGCCGGCATGGACGGTGTACTTTTCCGACGATGACTTCGAAGGGTATTTTTTTGTTAGTTCACAGGACAACAAGAAGGACCTGAAGGCGCCTCCCAGACAATTGAAACTTTCTATGAAAGACATTCGATGGCAGTGGAAGCATGACGGCTGCCCGAGAGCTGTGATGGGGAACCCTAGCGGGAAACAAGATAAGGTCCGGGCTTGGCATAAGTTTTGTACAACGACGCTCCATATGGCGCCTCAAAACAGCTTGTGGCTTCTCGCGGATCAAAAGGAAGAGGAGGTCATTAAGAAGCAAAATGCTGCCCTGCGTTCTTACTTACCTCTGGCGATCGCCGGGGAAAATGTTTGGAAACTGGCCGTGGAATTTTCCAAAAAATGCGAGACGGGCAAATTGCTGAGCCACGATGGGGCGAAGTGGACCGTCAAAAAGAAGAAGGTCAAAAACGTAAAGCCTGGGGTCACCTACATCCACAACGACAAATTGGGCAGAACGGAGGTGGTGTACAACATCCCCGTGGACGCGGCGAATAATAAGGGCAAAAAGGAGAAAGAGGAGGGCGATTGGTTTGCTAGACCCAGACGCGCATTGTTGGAAAGCAATGGAATCACTCACGGACAATGAGAAGTGTCGCGTTCTGAAAAAGGTGCTTGCTTGCGAGGTCGTTTGGGTCCAGGCCAGATCCCCGTCGTTGGCGAAGTTGGAAAAGCTTAGCGTGCAGGACATGGTTCAGCTGGTGAAGTGCGACCGTGTGCTGGTCCGGTTGTTGAATTACTACCAATTCAAGCACGAGAAGAGGCCGGACGCGGACTGGATCCAAAGGTACCCTTTCTTGAAATCGAGGTCTGCCGTGTTCAAGAAGTTTGAAGATCAGGGATAAGATGACGATTTGTGGGATAAGAGCAAGAAACACGTTTCCGACTCGGCGCTGTTCAAGGACTGCCCACCGTACATGGGTTGCGACCAGGACAACTCGATTGAGGTGACGGAGAAGTTGGCGGGCCACAAGAAGTTGTCCATCGACTGGAGAAACAAGGTTCTCTCCGTGTTAAACGGAAGCAGACTGAAGAGCCGGGAAGTCGCACTTGCCGAAGGCGTCGTTCACATTAAATGGAAAGACACGGGGGACGTGACATCCATCGCGCCATTCGCCAACGACCCTTTAGAGGCGGACATCAGGGGCGCAGAGCTGAAGGAGGCAGTGGCTGCCACAAAGAGCCACACGTTCATCCTCGATCTGTGCGAACCGGTTCACCTCAAACTGTGGAAGCCCCAAGCGTGGGAGACTTTGAATTCCTATGTTCAAACGTGGTGTCCCTCGCATTGGACTCTCGTTGTTTTCGTGCTGCGGCAGCATAACCTGTCGTTTCTCGCCAGCATGCATCATCTTTCTTTCGTCAAGCTGTTGGAAGGGAAGTGGGTGCGGAGAGTGAAGCAAAAAAAAAGCTTTCCCGTTGGGAACAATTTGTACACGGAGGAAGACCGCATGTACATCCTCTTCAAGGGTGACGATCTGCGCGTCAACACATCCGTGGTCTACGAGGGAAACCTGCCCACGGGTGCCACTGCTGCGGTGCGATTGCCTCAGAGGGTCACCCAGACGGATGTGTTCGAGATTCCTTTCACGCCTTGCGACTGGTCGCTGGTGGCGCCTGAACGACAGGGCAGCGTCTACGGGGATATGGAATGCAATCCGACCCAATTCGTCGGTCTTCTTGATTTTCTTAGCAAGAAGGGAGAGGGTGTCGTGTTCCTTGGGAAACCGCACGCGCGAAGCGTCTGGGAGCTTATGAAGGTCAGCCGACACGATGTCGCAATGGAAGGGAACTCCGACCTGTTGCAATTCACGATGTAGGTGGTGAAAAGCGAGGTCAATTCGAGTGGACACAATTGTGAGTTCATGGTTGTGAGGCCAACACGGGATAAGGTGTGGAGCAAGAAGATGGATATGTGGTTCAAGTTGAGCGAGAGGAAGAGGAACAAGATATACGATTTCTTGTTCCTTCAAACACATCCGAGGAGGGACACTGACGCCGAGTACATCCGCCGGGAGGACCACATGTTGGCACTGCTCAACAACTACCACTTCGCCTCCCGCATGAACGCGAAGACGTTTATCGAAAGGCTGCAGTCGCTGTACTTGTGGAGTCCGAGGAGCAGTTGAAGTTAGACAGTTACGCTTCCCTGATTTCCACTGATGACGAGGAAGCCATAGGTGTGGAGTTTGTCGCCAATGCGAAGGAGGAGGAGAGCGATACGGAGAGCATCGACCTGAAGTACGACCCGCCTCCGGCGGACCACGGCCGAGGGTCCTCGTCGGCCGGTCCATCACCAAGCGCTGCAGCCCTCGTGTCACCATTGGCCAAACCGGCGCTGGGCACCACGCCGATGAAGTTGCTAGAGAGACTTAGAGCTCTGGCCGCCCCCCCGCCCGCTTTGCGTCCCGGGTCCGTTGTCCCGCCCGATCATCCGTCTTGGAAGGATGACAACATCCACTTCCTGCTTGAACCGCAACGTCATTCACCTGAGCAGGACTGGGGCCACGACATGGTTTGGCATCCGGGAGTCATCCAGCCAGTGATACGAAATGGCGAGTGGGTCATGGCCGTGGCAATCCCGGGCGCGGGAAGGGTGCCATTCCTACGCGAGTCGAAGTCCAACTTCCTGCACCTCGCCAGAAAGTGAAGGTCGAAAATGACACTTTAGCACCTGGCGACCTGTCCCTCATTTCCACTGCCGGTCGACTGTTCGACGAGCTTCAGGACAAGTGCTGGTTGGAATTGACGGAGGACTACTACGAGCTCGACACGAGTCCGTCGAAGGGCGTGGTGGACTGGAAAGTTCCCCCTCCCTGTGGGCCGGACGGTGGTTCCGCGGGGGGGTCACCTGGAAGTGGAGGGGATGGGGGTGGCGACGTAGGGGGTGGCAAAGGAATCCCACCTATGGGGGAGAGAGGGTCTCACGGCCGCAACACGACACCGGGAGGCAGCGCCAGGGTGGCGGGTTTCGCCGTCGACCGGACTCCGTCGACAGGCACCCGGCCCGAGCACACGACACACTCCGCCGACCCCCAGACTTCGTCCGTGGGCTCAGCAAGGGACACGTTGGCAGCCTTGGTTGCTCTGGGCAGTCGCTCGGCCGGAAAGCCGAACTACGTCGAGTGAGGAGCCGCCTGAGCGGTCCGGAATACGAAGCTGCTCGAGGTCGGGGGATCTGAGCACGGATCGAGAAATTCGCAGCATTGCGGCGCGGGACGGAGACGTCGGAACGGTGTCGCCTGAGTGGGAGCGATGGCCGCAAGGATTACAGCGGGAGGCTGCAAGTGCAGGGTCCGGCGACACAGAGACCACGAAGTCCGCCGAGATCCGAACTTCTTCGGGCGGGGTTTGTCGGCCAGGGATTGTCGTGCCGTTGAGAGGGGCAGCGTGCGCGAGAACGGAAGGGCGGTCCTCACGATTCGGCACGGGTACCGCGGAAGGGGACGAGTTTCGTGGGAGGGAAGTAGGGGAGGAAATGGAGGAACAGAAGGGAGCGCAGGAAGGGGAGGAAGAAGGGAAAGAAGAGGTGGAAGGGGAGGAAGCGGGAGAAACAGAGCTAATTGATTTGTTTGAAGGAAGGGAGTGTGCCGGGTATAGAGAAGACGAAGTGGAACACAGTGAGGACGATGCCGGATCTGGAGAGTCGTCTGAAGAGTTCGGACAACTGTACGGAGAGCATTACGAGGATGATGTTGACGACGATGCCACAACAATAGAGAATGAGACACAAGTGGCCAGCAGCCTTTCCGCAGAGCCTGAAGATTATGCGGTTCGGCCACTGATGTTTGCTGTCGACTTGCAACACCGGTTCGACGAGGCTTCCGTTGCTATCAGCCCGTCTGAAAAAAGTCGACGTATAAGCATCGACGAAGTTATCGACGGTATCCTCGGCGACCACAACGTGTCTGCCCGTCTGTCCGCAACTGCCAACGTTGCATCTTCCGTGGCAGTTGCCCTCGCTTCGTCGCCGCCGAAGTCTCTGGTGCTGCAGGCCACCCTTGCCGCCGAAGGGGAAGGCGAGTGCGGTGGAGGACAGCATGTGACATCCCCAAAAAAATCGAGGTTCGGCGGTCAGGCTCTCGACGTGCTCGCTTTGCCTGCGCCAAATTCACCATCGAAGGAGCAGAGAGAGAAACAGACTGGTAAGCCGTGAAGAACGCTTGTGCATCCGGATGTCGCCGGATTACAGTCCGCGCTATACACACGACGACTGTCCACATTGTCTGTGCATACGGGAAGTTCCGGATGCCGGCATGCTACAGCCAGCAGCCCTTCCTACTCCAGCTCGTCGGCCTATCTGTGACTCGGCCGGGTTGTTAGTCGAGGGCGGCGAAAACTTCGTCCAAAACCTTACACTCCATCCTAGGAAGGATCTGCCCCGGCTGAGGAAGTGGCCAAGGTGCTAAGAAAGTGGCCAAGTACATGGACTGACAGTTTTCCCTTCTCGGGAATAGTGCCGGTTTTAGTCCGCTGGATCCGAACTTCCTTTGTCGATGCGTGATGTGGTCAGTCTCAGTGGGGCTGGTGTGTTGAAAAGTCCGCCACAGTCCGAACTTCGGGGATTGCTGGCCTCCAGCGTCTGTGAGTTGTGGTGGTTTTCCTTTGCGAAGTGCGGGGGGTGATAAGCTTGAATGTTGCAGTCGTTTTGTTTTCCAGTCGCACAACCGCACCTGGGTGCACATTACCACGCAAGATCAGGGTCCTGTGGTCGGAGAGGTCCTGCTTGACTGTAGGCCAAGGTGCTAGGAAAGTGGCCAAGTACATGGACTGACAGTTTTCCCTTCTCGGGAATAGTGCCGGTTTTAGTCCGCCGGGATCCGAACTTCCTTTGTCGATGCGTGATGTGGTCAGTCTCAGTGGGTCTGGTGTGTTGAAAAGTCCGCCGCAGTCCGAACTTCGTGGGTTGCTGGCCTCCGGCTTCTGTGAGTTGTGGTGGTTTTCCTTTGCGAAGTGCGGGGGTGATAAGCTCGGATGTTGTAGTCATTTTGTTTTCGAGTCGCACAACCGCACCTGGGTGCACATGACCACGCGAGATCAGGGTCCTGTGGTCGGAGAGGTCCTGCTTGACTGTTGCGTCTGTACGAATGTATGGTTCTCATTTTTCGTTTTGTCTTTCTTCTGTTGTACAGGGGTGGTGTCGTCTCGAACATGGAGGTCCTCCAAATATCCAGAGCACATATTGCAGAAAGTCCCCGGGTNGGGGTGGTGTCGTCTCGAACATGGAGGTCCTCCAAATATCCAGAGCACATATTGCAGAAAGTCCCCGGGTTGAGTAAAAAACACAAGGATATGTTCAAGGCATCAGGGGTTGATGTCGAGATCGGGAAGAAGGAGTACACCGTTGCCATTGAGGAATGTCTTTCCCTTCTTGCCCCAGAGAAAGAGACATATCCACGATCTGTGAGTAGGGGTCAGACCATGTATGAGAAGTACTTAGCAACGCGTTATGCACCGGGGGACAATGTCTAGAACTTTGTTTCTCACTACCCCACATGTCCTTTGCTCGATGTTGTGCAGTGCGGGTAACAACTGCAGCACGCGGGAAAAGTTTCACTGCGACGATTGCGCCTCTGAGCTTGACGGTTTTGGACGACATTGTACGAGGCTCGGTGCCATCTAACACTATTCTCTCTATGTTGGGCGATGGTCAATTTCGGATTTCAGCAAAAGATCTCACCCTCTGGCATGTCAACGGCAGGGTGAATGATGAGGTGGTCAATTTCTATATGGCGTTGATGGGGTCGACCATATGTGGGTCACGTGACATCTCTGCAGGCCTTCAAGTCTTCAGCTTTAATTCGTTCTTCTTCAGTAAACTGCGACTTCAAGGACACGGTGGGGTGCAGAGGTGGGCTAAAAACGTAGATTTGCTTCGTTACGATATTATCTTCGTTCCTGTCCACAAAAATGATGATCACTGGATCCTCGTTTCTGTCAACATGAGATATGATGTTCTCAAAATTTTTGATTTTTTTCCTCGCATTGTAGCTGATTCTAGTTTTTACCTTGGTGTTTTCGGGTTGATTGTGCACTATTTAAAACGTCAAACATCACATAGGCGGTCGGGTAGGAATTGGAAGTCCATGGTGGGAAATGTTGTGGTGGATGGAGTTCCGAGACAAGTGGATGGAGCAAGTTGTGRTGTGTTCATGTTGATGTATGCGACGTTATTGCAACATGGAGATCGACCGCCTTTCCGGTTCTCTTGTAAAGATATTCCGCTTCTTAGACTACAATTAGCATCATGTGACTTAGAACATTGTTGTCTTTGATGGATTTGATTGACTTCGAAACTTTTTTTTAAGGTGTTTCATTCGTTGATCGTTAAATTTCGTAAATCGAGACATTATTCAACTGTTCTTCTGCCAGAGGCATTGCTTTCTTTTATCGTTCCGAGTTCGCATTATCTACGGCAAACTCAATGCATGTCATGCGTCATGTATGGGCTTTGTAATCTATGTCGCATAATGTTCCATGTTCCGAATTTTGTTCAAGTTGAAGTATTGTGTTCCATGTTTCGAATTCTGTTCAACTAGAAGTGTAAACATGATTGTGAAACTGGTTGTTGGATGAATGAGGAATCTCATCTTATGTAAAATTGGTCAGTGGATGCCCAAACCTTATTTGCATGACCATTAAAAATGCGGATATTCATTGTGATGGAGCACAATTTAATCTAATTCAATCTAATTACATTGCTAATTTTGTTTATAAAAGTTCAACAATTATGGATGTCAGCAAACTTTCGCATTTGGGGCGACTGGGCGGGCATGCCCATGTACAAACACTGCAGTCAAAAATGAATTTGTAAGAAAGAGGACAGTGTCACAATATAGTTACTGTATCTTTCATCACATTTATGAAAATGAAGTTAGACAAGTTAGGATCACGGCACACTTCCGCACAGGGTTCCCTTTCTCGTGCCAATCGTTGTTCGTTTATGAAGTTTGACTAGTATGGATCCCAACACACTTCCCCACAGGATCACCAACATGTTTTTGAAGTTCAACAAGTAAGGATCCCAACACACTTTCACATTTGGGATTTCATTTATGAAGTTTCACAAGTATGGATCTCAGCACGCTTCTGCATGTGGTTAACCCCTGGATGGGCATGCCTACGTTGCTTAGGCTGCAACCAAAAATTAATTCGTTAGAAAGAGGACACAGTATAATGTCCTATTTTAACGAATAACGTGTTAGCAACCTTTTTAATGTCGGAGTAAGCCTCCTTGCCTAGCAAGCAGATTGACACAGGAAACCATAAAATCGAAAAGGCTGCAGCAGATAGGACGAGAGCCCTTCCAAATAGCGATAGCTTGAAATTTTTTATCCATGAGTGAATTCTTGCTATTACTTTGTCCGCCAGTATCTGGTCCTGAACTTTAGAGCAGTCGGAAAATGAGACCTGCAGTCCTAGAAATCTTTCTGAGTTTGCTGTAGGGATCTTTCTCAGGCCCCAATCAACCCTAAGAACAAATAGAGAGGGCAGAAAGTAGACTGATTTCGACCAATTAATGGAAGCCTCAGAGAGAACACAATATTCATCTAGAACCAATTTAAGCTCATTCAGATAGGCGGGGTTATTCTCACAAGCGATTGTTAAATCGTCTGCGAGGGGCCCTCCTTTCCAATGGAGAGAGGCATTAATCTGCAGCCCCCGAATACTATCGTTATGCCTAATATTATCTAATAGTACCTCTAGTTGTAGGACGAACAATAAGGGAGCCAGGGGGCAACCCTGACACAGCGACTGTGTCAGGGGGAATTCTTCTGAAAGTTGGCCATTTACCATAACCACTGACGTGGCTTGGGCGTACATTGCTTTAATCCAGTTGGAGAGGCCCGGGCCAAACCCCATTTTTGCCAAAGTAGTACAAACAAAAGTCCAGCCTACCTTATCATAGGCCTTTTCCATGTCCAATAATAGTATAGCCACATTCCATTTTTCAGCACCAATCACTTTCAGCGCCTGTACCGTGTTAAGAATATTCTCAAAAATTGAGCGACCCCTTACAAAAGCGCCCTGCTCCCACCCCACCAAATGGGGGAGTTCAGCAGCAAGCCGTATTGCGAGGGCCTTAGCTTATATCTTGTACGCCACATTTAACACGGAAATAGGCCCATAATTACGGACCTCCCTTTTATCTTCTTTTTTATATAGGAGGGATATCACGCCTTTAACCATACTCCGCGGAAGGGAGCCTGTAGCCAGGGCCGTGTTAAAGATACGGCACAAGAACGGGGCAAAAGCATCCCAGGTGCTCAGAAAAAGCTCCACCGAAAGGCCATCAAGACCCGGGCACTTCCCAAGGGCCATCTGCTTAATTGCCATATGCAATTCTCTCTCCGTGAGGGGGGAGTCCAACAGATCTCTAGTGTTAGTGCTTATACATGCACTTGTTCTGTCCCAGAACTGGGAGTCCAAAGACAGGTCTGTATTAAAGTTATCAAAAGGCCTTCAAGTTGCTACAATGTCGCGAAAATATCCCAGAGCAAATGAGCACATAGTAAGTGTATCTGTGGCTACGGCTGCCTGAATATCGAACGGATGGGAAAGCTCCCTGACAAGTGGTTTTGCTAGCTGGAGGATTAAAGCTCTAAAGCACAACTTAGTCATGCGATCAAAACCAATAATGCCCCTCAGTTTAAGCCATTCTGTACCGGACTTCGGGTTGGCCTGTGAGACCAGCCCCTTGGCCTGTTCTCACAGGCCTGTGTTGTATTCGGAGTAGGCCAATCCAGGCCGGTACCACTGTCGGTACCAGCCAGTCCAGTCCAGTCCCGTCAGTCCGCTGAGGTATACCCCATCCATTGTCTGTTTTCAGTCTCATTCTTCACTTGCACATTTTGGAGTACGTGCGTTGGAGTCTTGCGTGGGGAGCTGCGTTGTGCCATCTCGCTCCCCCCTTTCTTCCTCCATCTCCTTCTCTACCACTAGCGGAGCACCACACCTGGTGGGTCCGCTACATTGGTATCGAAGCAGGAACGGTTCCCGCTCCCACCCACCACCCCGTACAGCTGTCCAGCAGTCCGCACAGCCGGGAATACAGCAAACCCGACAACGGTTTTTTTTGGTGTTTTCGGAAGGCCAAGGCCGCCGCACGCGCACGCGCGTCACCCGCCCACGCTGCCCCGCTGCCCCGCCCCGCCCTGCTCTCGGATTTATATTATCAAGATCCGGGAATCTTGCTGCTGCTGGGGTTT